TTTAAAAATGGCGGCTCCCCGCTTATGCAAATGAAGCCCGGGAAATTCAAATCCCGGGCTTCATTTGCAAGTGCGGTATGCCTACATTACCCTCCTAGTGCGAACTAGGAGGGTAGTGTAGACATACCCCCACAGTGTTAATTTGAACTTGTTCTAGGCTTTTTCTTTCAGGAGCTAAATTAAATTTAACATCTTTACCCCTCCAATCTCTTACCTGATTGCTATGAAAGTTCTTATGGGTAGCAACATGGTTCTGAGAAAGGACTGAGGTGATTATGATAGAAATGAGCACTTTGAAGAACTGGCAACAACTTCAATCATACCTTCAACTGAGAATTCGTACCACTAATTGTCAAAGTGGTGTGCAACTTTTTGGTTCTCTTGGATTCATTGTTGCTCCTGAACATCCAAAATGGCAATTGTAATAAAAAAATCAGCCATTTTCTGCTAGTAAAGAGTTTTGGTGCTGTCCTCTTGAAGACAGCTGCAGTGATCTGTGAATTTGCCTCCTTCAGGTTGGGACTGTTTCAACTCTCTGTACCTGGAGCTGATGAGGAAGTCCATGTGGGAATTGCAACTAGTCCATCACTGACAGGAGGGCCATGTGGCTCTCAGCTTGGGCGGTAGGCAACCTGACAACTTGAGCTGGGCCCAATGAGCTCCCTTCAGATGGTTGTGCTGGTTGCTCAAAACATACTATGCCTGCAGCTGTGCTTACACGTCTCTCACTTCTGCTTTCTTTTCCAGTCCTTGGTCCAAGCCCTTCTTCAGCCCCAATTTTCCTGTCTAGGTTTCTGACTCCTGGCTCCAGCTCTCAACTGTGTCCCAGACTGATTCCAGCTTTCTCTTCAGCTCAGACTTTGACTTCTAACTCTCAGCTCTGACCCCATGGCTGTACTTCTGAATATGATTCTGGCTTACCTATAGTCTTAGACTTTAGCTTCTGATTCTGGTTCTGATATTCAGCTTCACCCCCAACCCTGATTCCAGCTTCACCCTTGGATCAGTGTTTGATCCCTGAATCTTTGCTTCTCATTAACCTGTCACCACAGTCATCAGGAAAGGTCTTACTTCACCCACTTAGGTAGGCTGCCTGTACTCCAGCATCTTACAGTCACTTCCCTGTGGTATCTCACTTCTTGAGCATGGCAGCGCAAAAGGAGCATATAATTCCAGTGCTCTCCAACCAGCATTAAGTTCATATTTATTATTTAACCAATCTCAGTTGTCCATATTATGAACTAGGCCAGCTCTCTCAGGAATCCTATTTCCTACCATTCTGTTTCATGGAAATTTTTGATTGTTAGCATCCTATAGGTTCAGGCTATTGGCAGAGTCTTTTTGGCATAGGGATCCAAAGACTGAAATTTCATATGAGAAGAGATAATGCAGTACAAAACATCCTGTTCAGAATTTTTGAGGTGTTGTTGGTAGCCATAACGGTCCCAGCATAGAAGAGAAATAAAGTGGGTGTGGGAATACCTTTTCTTTGATCAATTTCTGTTGGTGACAAAGGCAAGCTTTTGGATTTTACAGAGCTCCTCTTCAGGTCTGAAAAAGATAACAAGAGTATCACGGTTTAATACAAGGCAGGACAGAACATTAAACATAAGTGGGTAACAGTTTTATATGTGGGCAAACATTTTTCAGAGTGATCATTCTATATCTGACCTCTCAATCTTAGTCCTCAAAGGAAACCTACACAAAAACTTCAAAAGATGAGCAAGGTAACTTGAATTCATAACTCTACTAAACACTAAGGCTATGTCTACATTACAGGGTTTTGCTGGCAGAGAGCATGCTAATGAAGCGCTCGTTAGCATTTGTTGCGCTGTCATTGGTATATTCTCTGCCTGAGGCTTTTTGTGAAAGAGGTTTTTGCACAAAAACAAGCAGTGTAGACAGATCCCTTTTGCGCAAAATCCTTATGCTCCAAAAAAGGAGGTATACAGATCTTGCGCAAAAGGGAGTTTTTGTGCAAAACAGATCCGTCTACACTGCTTGTTTTTGCGCAAAAAGCCTCGGGCAGAGAATATGCTAATGACAGCGCGACAAATGCTAATGAGCACTTCACTAGCATACTCTCTGCCAGCAAAACTCTGTAGTGTAGACATAGCCTACGTGTCATGTTTTCAAAAGAGACATTGGATTTAGGCTCTTAACAACAATTTGGAACTTACTAATCCTCATTTGTCCTATGATTCAGAGACACTGTCTATTTCATTTGAAGCATTTTTGCAACATATGTTAACTGCTTATACTGAACAATCTATCCCATCTTGTATTTAGCTGTGACACTCTGGTTACATTTTTCAGACCTAAAGAAGAGCTCTGTGAAGCTTGAAAGCTAGTCCCTTCCACCAGCAGAAGTTGGTTCAATTAAAGGTATTTCCTCATCCACCTTGTCAGCTTTTTCATGAAGGCATTCTCCAGGTAAAAGAACTGATCAAAGACCCAGCATATTTTGTACGAAAAACAATCTGTGATGACTAGGAGAAATGAATTAATTTGATTCTAAGTTGGACAAAAGTCACTGAGATTCTTGCTCAAACACAGTAACAATGTCTGCATACTAAGAAGATGGCACTCTATTGTGATAGAGCATACAGACATCTAAGCACAGGAACAAGATGGTAGCATACAACAGGGGTCTCCAACCTTCTTAACCATGAGATCACTTTTTCAATTTAAGTGCAATGTAAGATCTACCTCAAACCCAAATTCCCGTGCCTTTCCTTCCCACCCTTTTTTTGAGGCTCTTCCCCTTCTCCACCCCTTCTCCGAGGCCTCATCCTACTCACTCCATCCGCCTTTTCCCCCCATCCTCGCTCAGTTTCACCAGAATGGGGTAAGAGGTTGGGTTGCAAGCTCTGGTCTTGGGCCAAGGCGTTTGGAGTGTGGGAGGGGATGCCCTTAAGGTAGGGAGATGAGGTGGGTTCTGGAGTGGCCTAGGGGATAGGGCATTTGCCTGGAGAGTGCAGGGTCGGGGGCTTGTGGCCCCCCCTTCCACCCAGCCTGGGAGCAGCCAGACAGCCAACACAGGCTGCCCCAGGGATGGAGCTGGTTCACGTATTTGGAAAGCAGGATAAGGAACCTGCTGAAGATAGTGAGGTAGGGTGAGTTCCGGGGTGGTCTAGGGGATAGGGCATTTGTCTGGAGAGCGCAGGGTGGTGGCGGCTTCAAAGCCTGCCCATAGTTGGACAGCCAACACAGGCTGCTGTGTTAGAAAAGCAGGATAAGAGACCCGCTGAAGACAGGGAGGTGGAGTGGGATCTCCAGTGAAATTAGGGATAGGGCATCAGCCCCTGGAGCAGAGGGTGGGGTGGGTTCAAGTCCCGCTACCCTGGGAGCCACTGGACAGCCAAGACAGGCTGCCCCAGGGATAGACCTGGCTCCCGCATTAGGAAAGCAAGATAAAGGACCCTCAGAAGGTAGGGAGATGGAGTGAACTTGGGGATAGGGCATCAGCCTCTGGAGTACAGGATGGTTGGCTTGATCTTAGCCTCCTCCACCCATTCTGGCAGTATCTGGGCAGCCAGCACTGGCTGCCACAGGGATAGACCTGCCTCCCACATTAGGAAAGCAGCATAAGGGACAGCATGTGGATGCCCCCTGCTCTCCCTTTCCCAAGGACTGCAGGGCCATGCCAACACTTCCAGGAGCAGCAATTACCACAGGGATAATGGCTCCAGCCATGGCAAGTTAGGCATTTTAGAACTCACTACTCAAAGAATTAAATGTAAGTGTAAGAGAGAAATGAAAATGATGAAATGCACAGGCCAGTCACAAACCAAAACTAACCCACTTTGCAAGCAGTAAAAGTAATAACAACCCCACAACACAAATATATGCTGGGTCAGGAGATGAGTGAGGGATAGAGTGTGTTTGTGACTGACACACACACACACATGCTGTGTGAAAGTGACAGAGATTTGCATTGTCACACTCCCTCCATCCCCTTCTCTCTGTGGAGATAGAGTGCGGGAGTGGGGGGAGAAGGGTTACCCTGATATCAGTGCCCCCCTTCTCCCACCCACACCCTGCACAGCAAGCAGGAGGCTCCCAGGGGGTTAGCTCCAAGGCAGAGGGCAGGAGCAGCATGACACTGAGTGGAGGGGCAACTGAAGTGCCCGCACCAGATAGCTTTCCGGCTAAACCAGTCAGGATCATCTGTCAGAGGCTCCAAGATCTACCGGTAGATCCCAATCTATTGGTTGGTGACCATTGGCATACAGAATATGAACTGCACTGAAAATTATATAGAATTTTCAGACTTGCTTGGGACAATAAGGATATTTTTCATGTAAAAATGCCTCGTGCCCAAAGGTTAAGATGATAATTTCTGAAACACAAGCAGATTTTCATGATTACCATGCACATGGAAGCTGTACCCCAGGCATGTCCAAAGTCCGGCCCGGGGGCCAATTGCGGCCCGTGTTCCAGTTTAATACGGCCCCACGGGTAATTTGGCAATATCTATCTTTTATGGCCCCCAATGAATCCATATGTATTGAGATGAATACATTGTAAAATCTCAGTTAAAGTCAGTTGGTCTAAATCAGTTATAAATATATTTGGACACAACATGTATACTTGGTGTTATGTTCCTGTTCATATTTTTTGAACTTAAAAGTTGACAGACAACCTTTATTACCAATAATATGTAATGTACTTTACAATGTTCCTGACATATATTTCAGCTTCCTGGATTTTTTTTTTCATCTGGCCTTCAGATATGAAAGGCAGAGTGATTTAACACCTGTTTAGATTTGTGATCCATGTGACGAAATGAAAAGTATGCCGTTTGCAATAAACTTTGCATAAAATAGTTAATTTGCATTTAATTTTAATGGTTCAAAGAATGTCAGGCAAAATGGTCGGCCCTCACGCTTGTTCACTTCATCAAATCTGGCCCTCTTTGAAAAAAGTTTGGGCACCCCTGCTGTACCCTTTCTGAAAACCTGGCCTTGTAATTGTTTTTAATATGGATTGTATTAGAGCTGATCCCTTTATAAATGAGTTGGAGACAACTTTCTTTGTGAGATCATGCTGAGTTCTTCATTCCAAGTCATTGCTTTCGAAATCAATGTTTTGGCAAAAGTTATAGACATTCTGTAATTAGATTTATCACAGCCAAACAGTTTGAGGGGAAATCTACAGAATGCTTTGCATTGGATGTAAAGAAAGAAGGTCTTGTTAGAACATAAGCTGATTAAGGAATATGATGTGAGTTTGACTTCAGGATTTTTTTTCTTTGTTTTACATTTGTAATGACACCTTCCTTTTATGTTATTAGTAATGCTGATTGAATTTGTATCCATATAGTAAAATACATTGATGTCTGCCAACAGGACAGCTTCCAGTATAACTTTTCTCTGGAATTTAGAATTGAGAAAATAAACTGTGTTATAATGCTCACATTAGATGTGAGTTCTGATGAGTCATGCATATTTTGTATACATTTTACTCTATAATTCAACAAATGACATAAAATAATGACAAATATTTGTGTTTGTTAATGACATAAAAATGATGAAAAAGAGATTACAAAATAAATATGGAACTGCTTTGTGTTTTAACTGAAGCCCTTAGACCAGTGTTTCCCAAATGGTGTTCTGCGGAACCCCAGGGTTCCATGAAGTGAAAATAAGGGTTCAGCAAGAAAATTCCATTACAATAACATTTTATTATTTTTAAAAAATTAATATTGAAGCACTCATTAATTTTATTGAAAACAATTTTCATTTGTGTTCACTTCAGACGGCCAATTAATACACAAATTTAAAGTTTTTCTGATTACATTTTGGGGCAGCTTATGTCAAGAACATTCAGTTTTATCAAGACGTGCAATTCGTCAGTTGTTACACCCTTCACCAGCACATACTTGTGTGAAACTGGGTTCTTGAATTATGCAACAAAAACGAAATTCAGAAATCGACTGAATGCCATGTCGGATATGCGAATCCAACTTTCCAGTATTAAACCAAATATAAAAAGAATTTGCCAAGAAAAGAAGAAAAACCACTCTTTGCATTGAAAACTGCCAATATAATGCATATTAGTTTTTGAGCTTTATTTTTTGTACACATTAAATGTAATTTTTGTTTTTAAATATGTGCAATTAAACTAAATGTTGATCTCATTGGTGTAAATTCTGATGACAGTTAGTAGTTAGATGATTACGGAGATAAATATTTTTTGAAAATATTTTGAAAAGGTGTGCTTAAAGTTTTCCATCTACATCTGTGAGCCCCGAGACCTGTGTATTCAATCAAGTGGATATAATGTATATACCTTGAGTATTGGAGATATTCTATCATCTTTTTCTTCTGGGATAGGATGGGAAAATTGATATTTCACGTGTTGACCTTTTCTGATTCTTTACAATATATGGTTTGGCCCCATATCTTGTCACCGGTTATGAGTTTTAAAACAAATGAGCCGGAGACAAGATATGGGGCCAAACCATATATTGTAAAGAATCAGAAAAGGTGAAATATCAATTTGCCCACCCTATCCCAGAAGAAAAAGATGATAGAATATCTCCAATA